TATGGTGTGAGAAAATGATCTAGTTTCATTCTTCTGCATGTTGCTGTCCAATTCTCCCAACACCATCTGTTAAAGAGGCTGTCATTTTTCCATTGGATACTCTTTCCCGCTTTGTCAAAGATTAGTTGGCTGTATACTTTTGGGTCCAATTCTGAGTTCTCTATTGTATTCCATTAATCTATGTGTCTGTTTTTGTGCCAATACCATACTGTCTTGATGATGACAGCTTTCAATCCTACAGAATTTCTTGAGATTAGGGTTATTGCTTAGCATGTTATCAATTTGTATATATGTTCAATATGCATTTCTAAAGAATATTAATCTTTAATTGTTGGATGAAACAATATACTTTACCATCAGTTTGAGCTTATTAGTGTGCTATATAAATCTGCCACATCTTTCCTAAAACTTTTCTCTACTTTATCTCTTAATTATAGGAAAGATGTATTAAAATCCTCTTATTAATACAATAAATTTGTCAGGTTTTTTTTTTTGAGTTTTGTTTATGTTTTTTCCTTCCTATTTTGAGGCTAGATTTTTAGTGTATGGAATTGATCTGTCACCTAGGTGCACACAATTTTTTTGTTATTATTTAGTGACTTTCTTTATTTATGGAAATGATTCTTGCCTCGAGTCTATTTTGATTAATAGCCATATATCTGTACCAGTTGTACATGCTAGACCATATACTTCTTGAAATATCTTTTGTAATATAATGGATGCCAGTCTTTTTGTGTACTATATTTTAGATTTGATATTTGTGTGAGCAATATAAGTATATTAAAGAATCCTATGAGACTATGTTTATTTTTCAAGCTATATTAAAGCAACTTTTATTATGGTTATACTCATGAGAATTACTTGCCATTTTTTTAATGTTATGGTGCTTTTTTAAAACACTGAATTTACCACATTAATCATTTGTAAGTGTACAGTTCAGTAGTAGTGTTAATATCTCCATATTACTGTACAGCAGATCACCAGGACTTGTTTTATGTTCCATCACTGAAATTCTTTGCCAACTGAACACTAATCCCTCTCTTCCCTCCCCTGAGCCCTTGGCAGTAGCTTTCTACTTTCTCTTTCTATGATTTTGACTGTCTTAGATACTTCATATAAGTAAAATCTGACAATATTTGTTCTTTTGTGATTGACTGACTTTGCTTAGCATAATGTCCTCAAGTTTCATCCGTGTTGTAGCATGTGACATGATTTCCTTCCTTTCTAAAGCTGCATAGTAGTCAAATATAGGTATATGCCACGTTTTCATTATCCAGTTATCTGTCGTTGGATATCTGGGTTGCTTCCGCCTTTTAGTTATTGGGAATTATGCTGCAGTGAACATGGGTGTGCAAATCTCTCTTCAATACCAGACTTTTCATTCTCTTGGATGTGCTCAGAAGTGAGATTGCTGGATCACATGATAATTCTATTTTTAATTTTATGAGTAATCTTCATACTGTTTTCCATAATGGCTGCGCCATCTTACATTTACATTAACAGTACACACGGGTTCCAATTTCTCCACATCCTCAAACATACTTGTTACTTTTTGCTCTTCTGAATAATAGCCATGTTAATGGAATAATTTGGTGGTACCTCACTGTGGTTTTGGTTGGCATTTGTCTTAGGGATAGAGACGTTGAACATCTTTGTGTGTGCTTTGTGGACATTTGTAGATCTTATTTTGGAGAATTGTTTATTCAAGTGCTTTGCACAATTTTTAATGTTTGTTTGTTTTTTGTTGTTTGTTGTTTGTTTGTTTTTGTTGCATATATTCCAGATATTAACCTCTTATCAGGTATATGATTTGCAAATATTTTCTCCCATTCCACTGGTTGCCTTTTCTCTCTCTCGCTCTCTCTCTCTCTCTTTTTTTTTTTTTTAGTGCCCTCCTGGCACTCCTTGCTTTTCACTCTGTTGATTGACTCCTTTGATTCCCCAAAATTTTTCAGTTTGATGTAGTCCCATTTGTCTATTTTGCTTTCACTGACTGTGCTTATTCTGTTATATCCAAGAAATCATGGCCAGATCCAATTTCTCCATGTTTTCTTCTAGTTTAATAGTTTTTAGCCTTAGATTTAGGTTATTGAGTTAATTTTTATATGTTGTCAGACTATGTTTATTTCAAAACACTTTTTACTATAAAATCAAACACAAATATGATAAACTACATTAAACAAGGCAGAACAGTCTCTCATATGTATTTTCTTTTTTAAAATGTTTTTATTTATTTCTGAGACAGAGAGAGAGAGAAGACATACACACACACACAGCATGGGCAGGAAAGGGTCAGAGAGAGGGAGATACAGAATCTGACATAGGCTCCAGGATCTGAGCTAGCTGTCAGCACAGAGCCCGATATGGGACTCAAACTCATGAACCATGAGATCATGACCTGAGCTTAAGTCAGGCGCTTAACTGACTGAGCCACCCAGGCGCCCCTCTCATATGTATTTTCAAGTTTATTTTATTTTATTTCATTTCATTTTATTTTATGAAAGTTTCTTTGATTATAGTTTTTAATATTTTTTCTGTTACCTTATTTTAATTTTATAAATGACTGAAATTGTCCACATTTGTCATTTCATTGCTTATCTTTAATACTTGTCACTTTCTCTTAAATACCATTTATCTCTTCTTTTTTAAAAAATATATTTCTTATTTTTTATTGAGAGAGAGCAGGGGAGAGTAGGGAGGGAGGAAGGGAGAAGGGCAGAAAGAGTGAGAGAAAGAATCCCAAACAGGCTCCACACTGTCAGCACAGAGACCAACATGGGGCTTGATCTCACAAACCTTGAGATCATGACCTGAGATGAAATCAGGGTCAGACCTTAACCAACTGAGCTACCCACGCAGCCCCTTCTTTTCTTTTTAAGTTAAATTTTATTCTTTACCACATTGCATTTCTACTATAAATGGTTAGTTATATTTTTTTGTGTTTCTTCTCTTTTAGCTTTCTTGTCTATGTTGTATATTTTGTACGAGACTTGGACCTTTATACTTTTATTCTTTACCACTTTTTTTTTGAATTCGAGTTTTTGAACTTATAGAAAGAGACAGTTCAGATACTTTCTATTAATATCTCAGGGTTGCTGCTAGAGTTTTTTTTTTTTTTTTTTTTGCTGCTAGAGTTTTTATAGAGTGGCTTGTTTTCAGGTATTTTCTGATTTAGTAGAAACCTCCGCTGGCCCCAAATGGGAAATTTGGAACTAATTTATTATTTTTTGGGATTGTTTTGTCTATTTGGAGCCCCTTGGTTTTCCATATAAATTGTAAGATTAGGTTTTCCACTTTTGTGGAAAAGGCTATTGGAATTTTGATGGGAATTGTATTACTTTTAGTTGTATTAACATTTTAACAATATTAAGTCTACCTATCCATGAGCAGTGATATCTAATAATGAAGTTTAGGATAGACTTTGGAGTTATGGTGTAGGCTTTCAAGAGGTCCAATATATATTTATATTAGATCCCTGATTGAATTGAATTCTATCACTAGAAATTTCTTTTCCTTTCTTCAATGTTTCTTTATTATTGAGGGAGAGAGAGAGAGAACAAGGGAGGGTCAGAGACCCAGGGCTCATAGACCATGAGATCGTGACCTGTGCTGAAGTCAGACACTTAGCCGACATAGCCACCCAGGTGTCCTGAAATTATTTTAAGTACTGATCTCTGGTAATGAGCTTGAGAATTGTGGGTTTATTGATTTGTGACTGTTCTTTTATTTCCTAGGGCCTGACATATCAGACAGAAAATCTCTAGTTCCTTGCATCTTAAATAACATCAAAACCATCAGCTTTATGGACAGGGGCTTCTCAGGCTATCTTAGGTTGCAACAAACGTTAAGTCTAATATTTGCACTTGATGTTGCCTGCCACGCTGGGCTACTTGATGCAGATTGATTTTAAATATTTACAGTTAACCATAAGAACAAAGTCACTATACAGTCATTTAAAAAAGTATTTCCTGAGATACTTACACTGAGTCTTGTTGTACTTCAGACTCTTACAGTTCCAATTTGAAGAATAATGTCATGTGGAGAAGTCCCCATATCCCTTATCTTTTAGCTCTGATTTTGGTCCAGCACATCAAGAAGAGTATATTAACAGAGTTAATCTGTTAATAGTAATCCATGCTAATTTCATGAGCCTGAATTTTGATGAAATATTAGCTAAATTTTCTAAACCTCTTCTTACAAAATGCTACAACCAACCAATCACAAGTTTCATTTTATGGCTTATTAAGGGCTCTCATCGAGGCTCTGATTTGTACCTATGTTGCTTTAAGATGATGACAGAATCACAGGGTGAAGAAACACTGAGAGTTGCCAATTGTTTACTTGAGGTTTGAAGTGATGTTTTGTAATATCTGTCTCAGAATCTGTATTTCTCAACACTGTGAAGAGACAGCAAAAAGAGAGACTATGGGGCTCAAAGCTCTCTGTTTGGGGGTGTTTTGGGTTCTCTTTGCCTCTCATATTTATATCACCATTCCAGGCAACATTGAAGAATACTGGAAAGTAATGGCCTTAGAAATGGTTGTTAAAACTTTCATATTTATAGTAAGATTAACATTTTTTTCTTCTGGATATTGGGATGCCTTGTTGACTAAAAATCAGTGCTTATGAGCTTTTTAGTAATTACTATTTTGAAATAATCATTGCTTCTTTGTTAGAGAAAATTAATTGCACAAAATTAAGTAAATAAAACTTGCTGCATTTACATCTGTGCATAGGATAGAATTCCTGCTTCTAAGGAGTTTATATCCAAATGTAAAGATTGTGTATATTGTGATATGCATAGGTGGTATTCTTGACGGGAAAAGCTTTGAAGGTTACTTTATATGTTTAAGTTACATTTAACATATTTGAATTTTCAGTCATATTTTACTTATATATAAGTGTTGCTTATAAGTATTATTGATGTTTGTACCTATGTTGTGTTGATTTAAGGCTCTAACTATTTCAGTGGTTTTTGCAACTTATCTTTAATCAAAATTGCTAGATTTCAGAAATTGTCTCACTTGAAATATGGAGGGTTGATTACGAATTCAAGCAAAAATAGGTCTTGGTAAGGGGGACATATGGTTAGAATAACATTTTTGAGCCCTTGCAATACACAGGCTTTCAGTAATGTATATGTCTATGCATCCCCAGTACCATCTGATCACTTCAGAATTTGAAGCCAGGAATGCCTCATTTCAAAACTCATACTCTTTCTGCCAAACCAAGTGGCTCCCAGGAAAGTTGTTTGAGGACAGAAACAATGAGAAGCTGAAAGGAGAAGACAATAGCAGCAGCCAATGATTAGAGAAGAGAGAACAATCTACAGTATAAGAAGGAGAGGCTGTCCTGTAGTACTTAGTACAGCAGATAGCAGTTCTGTGAAAACACAGCCATCTCCTGTGTGCATCTGCTAAGTCCTGATATTTCTCTATCTGATCACTTCTAGCAGCTCACCTCATACCTGCCTCTTTCTCCAATGCCCTTACTCCTTGATTTAACATAACATGAAAGAGGATGTGGGTAAGCAAGTGCCAACTTGATAGTTTTTTTTTCTTTTTCAGCTACAAATTACTCTCACCATTGTCCATCTATAACAAAAGTATGTACTTTATGGATTTCACATTGGATATGGATTATTCTATATTTTAGAAAGATATAAGAAGAACACTCATGTATTTACTTTGAAGATTATTCTAGTAAAATTAACAGTCATTGGCTTTTCTAAAAAAAAATTTATTCTTGTCAGTACTGAACTTTGTAACTCAAAGTTGAGATACCAGTAAGAAATATTACTTTATCATATGAAATGGAGGTAAAAATTAAAGTTTTTGAGGTAGTAACCTTGCTAAATAGAATGCATTGCTATGGAGTTGTATACAACTTCCAAGTTGTTAACTTGGAAGGCTGAGTTTGGTAGAAGAAAGCATGTCTAACCTTCTAAACATTCCTCCATTGTACATTTTTGTCCTATAAAATGAGGATATGAATCATAAATACTTTCTAGGATTCCTCTGAGAATTATAGATCATATGTGGTAGACAAGCACAAAATAGTCACTTGTTATTCAAAAAATACTTATCTGCTCAAAAACAGAAAATTCTTGAAAAATGAGAAAAAAAGAAATTTGCCAAATATCTTTTAAAATTCACTTCATTTTACTGGCTGCAACTTAGAGCTTGTGCATGATTCCTCATTGTTAAAGTATAGGAATTAGACATTCTCTAAGATCCTGTAATACCATAAACTCTTTGGACTAATTGTAGGAATGTACTATTGACCATGTATTTTTAGTTTTTTTTTTTTTCTTTTGGGTAAACTGTTCAATGACATGTCACAAATTTCATAGGAAAGTTTTCAAAAATACCAGGGAGAGCTTTTTTTCAGGGCTATCAAATATTGAATTTGGGGATTGGGGATTAGGAGGCAAAGGACATAGATTTATTTGGAGTTGAAAACAGGGCATTAAACAAAAACAAAAATGAACTATTGAGTCCTCATCAAGATTAAAAGCCTCTGCACAGTGAAGGAAATAATCAGCAAAACTAAAAGTCAGACTACAGAATGGAACAAGATTTTTGGAAATGACATATCAGATGAAGAGTTAATATTAAACATCTATAAAGAGCATATCAAACTCAACACCCAAAAAACAAATAATCCAGGGAAGAAGTGGACAGAAGACATGAACGGAGACTTTTCCGAAGATGACATCCATATGGCTAACAGACAGAAGAAAAGATGCTCAGCATCACTCTTCATCACTGAAATAGAAATCAAAACCACAATAAGATGTCACCTTACCCGTGTCAGAATGGCTAAAACTAAAACTAAGGAAACAACAGATGTTGGCAAGGAGGCGGGGAAGGGGGAAGCCTTCTGCACTGTTGGTAGGAATGCAAACTGGTGCAGCTACTGTGGAAGACAATGTGGAGGTTCCTCAAAAAAGTTAAAAATAGAGCTACCCTACAATCCAGCAATTGCCCTCCTAGGCATTTATGCAAAGTATACAAAAGTACTGATTTGATGGGGCACATGGACTCCAGTGTTTATAGGCACTACTAAGAATAGCTTAATTATGGAAAGAGCCCAAATGTCCATCACCTGATGAATGAAATATATACATATGTACACATAGGTATAAACACACACACACACACACACACACACATGCACATCCAGACAATGGAATACTACTCAATGATGAAAAAGAATGAAATCTTGCCATTTGCAAAGATGTGGATGGAGATAGAGTGTATTATGCTAGGCAAAATAAGTCAGGCAGAAAGGGACAAATACCATATGATTTCATGTGGAATGTGGAATTTAAGAAACACAACAGATGAACACAGGAGAAAAAAAGGAAAAAAAAAACCCATAAAAGACTCTTAAGTACAGAGAACGGACTGGGGGTTGTTTGATGGGAGGTGGATTAGGGGGATAGGCTAAGTGGGTGATATGCACTAAGGAGGGCACTTGTTGGAATGAGCACTGGGTATTATATGTAAGTAATAAATTACTGGGTTCTACTCCTAAAACCAGTACTACACCTGATGTTAACGAACTTGAATTAAAAAAAAAAACATTAAAAAAAAGATAACCAGGGCATTAAATAATTATTAGTATGAGCAGAAGACAACATTTAAAATTTGGATTAAATAAAATTACCAATAAAGAAGAAAAATACAAAAGCATGCCTATGAAATGAAATGCAAAGAAAAGAAAAGATTCTACAAGATCGAGATATTTTTCAGGTAAGAATTTGTAATTATGAAATAACTGTCAGTAAATTGACAGCTTTCAAATGACACAGTTACTAAACTAAAATACAGGATACTTGAGATTTTCAAAAGCAAAAAGATTACGGGATAAGGTCTATACAGTATTTTTTGGAAAGAAATATTACAAATATTCTATTTCTGTTTATTTTACCTGTTTTATTTTCTCTTTATATTCATTTAGTGTTATTTAAAGATGATAGTGTTCAAGTTTGTTTTGTTTTCATAGGGTATGTGCTTTGAAAACATGGGCATTATATCATGTGAGGAGCTTGTTTCCATGATACTCACACTGGACTATACACAGCCACTCTCAGATGAAGATGTCACAGTGACTGATACAGCATTTGTTGATATTCCAGTGCGTGTGTACTTGTCAAAGAGAAAGTCAGAAATCGCAAGGCCGGCTGTCATCTATTTTCACGGTGGTGCCTTTCACTTTGGAAGTTTCAGTAAGTTCATCATATAAGGAAAAAACTTTAACTGGCTGTATGTTTTTGATATAAGAACTATTTAATATAAATATACATATTTATATATATAATAGGGTAAGTATAGCTATAAAATTTAGGTATCTAATAGACATAGACATATGTTTGGTAAAAAATATGCAGATCATTATTTCTGTTTTTGTTTGGTTTGGTTTTGATAAGCTCTTTCTTTTCAGCTTTTATATTGAATGAACTCATATCAAATGAAAATAAGACATGAATGAGTCAGTTAGCACAACTTGTTTTCTGTGGCATCAGAATATATTCCAGAGAAGAAACACTGAAGTAATACTGATGTTTTAAATAGTAAATTAGAATCACATGTTGTTGGTTGCTACAAGATCAAGTTTGCAGTTACCCATAACAGTAATGCTAACAGTAGTAAAGTTTAGAATCATAGCTAGTCTTGATTTTAAGGAAAACACAAAATAGACCTATGTTATACTAAACTCCTTCCTATGAAGTCTAATTTCCCCATTCATTTCTGGCTATGATTCTAAGAGGCATAGGTAGAAGATTCAAAACAAAAACATGAATAAAACTTCCTTTATGGAAGCTTTGGAAAATTCTAAGAATTGTGCTGGTATGTAAGGAGGAGGCACCATTCTATTTAATTAAATGAATAAAATGGAGGAAAGATAAACAGGTTATAGGTTTTAACCTTTTGCCTTTCTCTAACCCTCATTGGGTTCTAAATAGGGAGAACCTTATAAAAATATGTGCAATATAGCAAACCACTTCATTAAACAAAATTTATGAGGATTAGTCACAGAGAAAATTGGTATGGAAAATTAATGAGACACAAAAGTCAGATTAATACACAAAAGGCCAAAACAGACTAAAATTTTGGCTTTCTTGTTTTCTCCTTCCTAGCTTTCTGACAACTAACAAATTAGAAATAATATATAGTCAGTACAAATTTCATAGAGACTTGTCAAAAGATAATTATCTATGTGATTTAAATAGAAGTTAAAGAGTTTAGTTGGTCAGCCTCACTTGAAGATCACATGATGACCACATGGGTCTTCATTTGTTTTTTTTAAACATTTTTTTAAATGTTTTATTTATTTCTAGGAGAGAGAGACAGAGACAGCATGAGCAGGGGAGGGTCAGAGAGAGAGGGAGTCACAGACCGAAACAGGCTCCAGGCTCTGAGCTGGCAATCAGCACAGAGCCCGACGCGGGGCTCGAACCCACGAACCGCGAGATCATGACCTAAGCGAAAGTCGGACACTTAACCGACTAAGCCACCCAGGCGCCCCGACATGGGTCTTCATTTGAAGAAGGATGATTGAATTTGGATTTGGATTTGGGTTTGGATATGCTGCAAAAAATTGAGTCTTTGCAATTCTGGCTCAGAAAGCAATATTCAACTTTCACCAAAACTCATGGTTGGGGCTTGGTCCCATGTTCATGTCTCTTGTTTGGCTGGTTGGTAGATTTCTGAAAACCATCCCAGTAGTATTCTTTCTGCAAGACTCTTGTCTAACCAGCTACTCCATTTTCAAAGAGTAGGGAAGGTAGATAGCAATTCATTTAAATTAAAGGGGCAAATGTAGAATGCCCTGGGGAAACAGGGACCATGTATCATGTTTGTTTTATTCTTTTTCAACTCCATAAAGTAAAAACCAAAATGCAAAATGCAAAACTGGGTAATTTCCAATGTTGAGATGAGAAATTTAGCTCTTTGGCTTTAGAAAAAGACTTTCTACTGTATGATGAATATTTAAGAACTCTTATAATCACTGTTGAATTTATAATCATCCTTATAATTATAGGCTGATAGCTTGACTCCAAGACAATAATTAGTGAAAGCAATTCAATTTTGAGAAATAGAGAGAGTGAGGGAGGGGCCGAGGGAGAGAGACTCCCAAGTAGGCTTCTCGTTGTGAGCACAGAGCCCAACATAAGGCTTGAACTCATGATCCATGAGATCAGGACCTGAGCTGAAATCAAGTATGGGGCACTTAACTGACTGAGCCACCCTGGTGCCCCAGTCAAAGCAATTCTAGGAGCAGGAAATACGATGTGATAAAGATAAAGACTCGGAAAGAGGTGATTCAGAGGTGAATTTTATAACATCCAGGAAAGCAGGTATTCTGTGTGTTGTTCAGGAAGTCTTCATAAAGACTGTTTCCTTTCTAAGAGATTTTAAAGGATTCTGGAAAGTGAATTCTAAAGCACACACTGTGACAAGGAAGGGAAGGACAGTCATGTCGTATGGCTAGTAATGTACACAGCCGTAAGACAGAGCTTCTCAAATTGTAGTGCCTCAGCATCACCTAGAAGACTTGTTAAAAATTGTTGGGCCTGGCCTGCAGAGTTTGTGATTCAACAAGTAATGATGGGGACTGATAATTTGTATGTCATATAATTTCCATTTACTGGTGATGATACTGACTTGGGCACTACACGATGCTTGACTGCGTCTGGAGATCAATAACCTGTGGCCCTGCGGTGGCTTGGAAATCCTGTCCTGTGTACCTGAGTTCTGACTCTCATTCCTTTTGGTGACTACTCTGAGTCTGCCTCACCCCAGGCCTCCCAGTGCCTCCCACTCAGCTAGAGAGCAAGCTTTTTGCTATTTCAGAGCAAAGAGGATGTGAGGGATTGTATGGCTTCACATTTTGAACACTTAGTCCTTGACTCAATCCCTCCCTTCTATAAATTTGTTAACCATATCCATCTCCAGCTCACTCCTTTCTAATATCCTCAGAGGAAGAAGCATTTCCTTTTTTGAGAAAAATCAGTCTTTCTACCTGTGCTCGGTATCATATGTCTCTTTCCCTATTATTTGGCTTCATCAATATAGCTTCACAAATCCTCTGGGTTTGTTTGTTTGTTTGTTTTGTTTTTAACTCTGAAATAACTCCTCCTAAACATGTTATGCTCATTTTTATCTTGAAAAAAAAATTTCCACTTGACCATAAATTCCTCTGTCTCATCAGTCCCTTTCATTTCTCTTTCCTTCTCAGACCAATTTCTATACAGTGTAAGCTCTAGGCCTTCCCTTTTTCCTTCTTTTCCCACCTTTAGTTAATTCCTGAATCTTTCTACTCTAGTTCATTTGATGAATAATAGTCTCTTCTCCTCTTTGGCATTTACTGCTCCTCCCTTTTTCTTTCTATGACAAAGTATGTCCTAGATTTCCTCTGTCATTCATTCTTTTCTCATCTCCCTCCCATCTCTCATTTAAAAACAAACCAAACAAACAAAAGAACAGATTTCCCATATTTACTCTTCATAAATACTCTTTTCCCCCAGAATCTCTCCTACCTTTGGGATTTGACTCTGCACACTCTCTTTTCCAATCCCTTCTCTTCTCCAAATATCCACATGCTGCTGACATCCAGTGCTGAATCTGCTTCTCTGACACTATTCCTGAGTCCTGCTTCCATATATACAGCTGTCACTCAGACATTACAACTGGAGAAACCACAGACATCTCAAGCTTAATGTGACAAAACACAATTTATTGTCCTGTGTCCAGATGGCCTCAGAAGAAACAAACAAACAAACAAACTAAAATACCACCCAACTATCCACCGAAAGCAACCTCTGAATGCTTTCAGTAAATAGCACCACTCATGGTCAGTTATTTACAGTTCCTTAGTGCTCACATCAAATTACCATATCACATTCATTTTACTTCTGAACATTTTGACGTATTAACTCATTTTAGTACTTCAGGATCTTTTACAGATATTCCTTTCTGATGTCTCTACCCTTTTCCTTCTCAACTTTATTTCATCTTCTACACGTAGTATACTGGATCTTTCTAATGTACAAATCTGGATGTATGATTTCCGTGTCTAATCTCTTCAGTAACTTTCATCACTTAATACAATAAATCTAAATCTATTAGCACAGTGTTGAGATTTCCAGGTTCTTATATTTTAACATTTTCTCCCCAGTGCTCTCATTCATAATTTTGTTTCAACCATACTGAGCAGTATTTAGTTCCCAAACCCCACACCCTGACCATACATTCTTATTTCTATCTCTACCTGTGCTTTCCTAGGATGTCCTTCCCATATTACTGCTCACCTTTTTATGTTCATGTAAAGTATCATTTTGTGGTGTATGTGGTGTGTGTGTGTGCGCGTGCGTGTATAGTCTTCCCTGTCTCTCAAAGACTTTATAATGTTGCTTTATGTCCATTGCAGCTTGTATTTACCTGCTGGCAACAATCCTCGTTTTGTTTTAGAATTGTGTTGCATGTTGGGGTTAGCCTTTCTCCAGGAAGTGGTATCACCTCTTAACATCAAGCTAAGCACATTCCATATAATGAATTTTCAACAAATAAATGTCTTTTGAAAAAAAATATACTGAATTGCTGGAAGGAAATTCTGTTGTTGTTCTCCAGAAGGATTATTAGTCCAAATCTTCTCCCAGTATTTGTATATCTTTTTCATCTCCTTAATGTTTTCAGTAATTAGGCTTTACCTATAATTTCTAAATTTTTTTTTAATGTTTTATTTATTTCTAGGAGAGAGAGAGAGACAGCATGAGCAGGGGAGGGTCAGAGAGAGAGGGAGTGACAGACTCTGAAACAGGCTCCAGGCTCTGAGCTGGCTGTCAGCACAGAGCCCCACGCGCGGCTCGAACCCATGAACCGTGAGATCATGACCTAAGCGAAAGTCGGACGCTTAACCGACTAAGCCACCAAGGCGCCCCAGGCTTTACCTATAATTTCATTCATACCAGTCATTAGGGTGGTCGGAATACTCTGCTTCCTTTATTACATACATTATATTATTTTTTAAAGATTTTTTTAAAGTTCATTTATTTATTTTTGAGAGAGAGAGAAAACAAGAATGCATGCATGTGTACAGGAGAGGCAGAGAGAGAGGGAAGGAGAGAGGATCCCAAGCAGGCCCCACACTGCCAATGTAGAGCCTGATGCAGATAACAAACTCCTAAAACTGTGAGGTCATAACTGGAGCCATAACCCAGAGTCGGATGCTCAACCGACTAAGCCACACAGGCACCCCTAGATAGTACAAGATATATCATAAGATAGATTAAATACCAATTTGGCCTCATTTGTCCCTAAAAAGATGTATTTTTAAGTTTATTCATTTATTTTGAGAGAGAGAGAAAGTGGGCGATGGGAGGGGCAGAAAGAGGGAGAGAGAAAATCTCAAGCAGGGTTTCTGTTCTGTCAGCACAGAGCCAGACACAGGGCTCGAGTCCACCAACTGTGAAATCATGACCTGATCTGAAATCAAGAGACAGACTCTTAACCAACTGAGCCACCCAGGTGCCCCTTTAAAGAGCTGTATTAATACCAATAAAGTTCTTATAAGATGTATGAAACATCCAAGTATTCATATACAAATTACCTGGGACTTCAATGAGCACAAGACAAATGCTCACAGATGGGAAAATATCATTTTGTTTGAAAAATACTTAGAAGTCTTCTTGACTATCAGGTTCACTTCCCCTTCATTGACAAAGGTAATGATTGGGATTAGTAATCTCTAAAAGTATGCAAATTATTATTAAGGACACACATTCCAATGCTCTTGCCCAGCTGAATTCTATTTCTTTGTTTTTCCCATGTCTTGGCTTTATATTTGCATGTTATTTGTAGATCTGTCAGAACTTATATAAATTAACTGGAAAAGACTTAGATACCTTCTATTTTTTGACAAATCAGGACATGCACACTGTAAGTATTCTCTGGTATTTATACATTTCAATTTTCTCTCTTTGTTTCTTAAACGTCCTATTTTTTTCTTCTTTAAAACTTGATGAAGTTGTTTTGAGAGCTAAGAAATATAAGAAGATCTTTCTTTAGCGATTTTTTTTTTACACACAACTGTGGTTGTTGTTATTTTTCAACCTCTATCCAAGTATCTTCTTGTTTCTACCTGGCTCCTACAAGTGATATAAATTCAATAATTGGACATAGAAGAGAGAAAACCATGAGCCAACAAATTATATCAGCAAATGTGAGAATTAGGACAGCTGGAGATAAGGATTGAGAAATGAAAAACTTAAATTGATTTTTGCTGTAAGATAAATAAAAAGTGTTGGAAGATAAAAACAAAGACAGGTTTGAAATATATCATTGAGGGGCTTTCAATGTGGGGATCAGAGACTTCTTATGTCTTGCATATTTTGGTGTTCATCTACCCATTGCCTTTTGATGCATATTATCAACTCAATCTTTCATGAAAACATTATTTTTCTACCTAAAACACCAGCTGATTTACTTTTCTGTTTTCATGGTAATCATACCCAGTATTTAGCTAGTTTTTAATTTGAAGTTCCGTTAATGTGCAGGAGACATCTTGGAATAGCTTCTCTGAATTTCGAGGATCTCGTGGTAACTAAAGTAGTAGCAGATGCCACAGAGTTGCCAAAGTTTTGTGGCCAGGGCACTGGTAACTTGGATTTGGAGGTACCCAGGGTGAGAGATGTGTGTGTACTGGGGAGAGAGCTGACGGCTTGTGTGCCAAAATGGACGTTTACATGTAAGTCCACACACTGACTTGCCAGAGGCTCTCTCAGAATTCAGTTGCTTTTCTTTAGACCCTGTCTTCAAAGCCAAGATTTTTACACCATTTCCTAATGTGGCATATGCAAAGACCATGGAGGCACAAGGAAACATGTTATTGAGTGCTGTGGTTTTTATGGAGTCAATATATCTATTACTTTCTTTCCCCCCCTGTATTCTGGACCAATTAAAGATTATACACAAAATTCAAATAAAGGACAGTGAAAACATAACCATTATGTTATTTCTAAAGAAGGATTTGGAGAAAGTGTGTTTAGGTACTGTAATGAGTTAGATTAACTCATCTGTAGTGACTGGCCCTGCTGACCAACCACACACTTCCTCCCTATGAAACCTGCTGCCTGAAGGAGCAAGCAGAGTAAAACACAACAAGCCACAAAAGCGTTCTCGGGGGGATCATTCTGTACAAGCAGTGGGTGCAAATAGAAACAACAGAATGACCTGAAGCTAGTTTCTCCTCCTCAAAACACCAGTCTGCAAAGTCATCTTTTCATCTGGAAACAATGACTGAGGAGACATTCCTACAGAGTGTGTCAGGCTGATATTGGTCCCTTTGTATCGAAATGAAGTGAGGTATTTAGTTTCCTATGTAACACTCACAAATCATATATCTTTCCAGGTTCCTAGCTGTAAGCATTTCTATAGCTGTTTAATTACAGGCAGTACTTTGACATTTCTTTTTTCATTTCAGAGCAGAAGGCTTTTGACTCCCTGAATAGATGGACTGCAAACAAACTCAATGGTGTTGTTGTGGCAGTGGAGTAAGATAATGATTTTCTTTGGCTACTATGATTTTTGCCTTCACCAAGTAGAGATTTGATTTCCAAATCAAGTCAGCTATACTGGAAATATATATTTTTTAATTAAAAAAATTTTTTTTAAAATTTTTATTTATTTCTAGGAGAGAGAGAGAGACAGCGTGAACAGGGGAGGGTCAGAGAGAGAGGGAGACACAGACTCTGAAAGCAGGCTCCAGGCTCTGAGCTGGCAGTCAGCACAGAGCCCGACGCGGGGCTCGAACCCACGAACCGCGAGATCATGACCTAAGCGAAAGTCGGACGCTTAACCGACTAAGCCACCCAGGCGCCCCTA